GTGGTGTATACAGTTACCCACATCTATATGCATATGCTCAATTCAAATTTAACACCAACCACTAATGCCAAAGATGAAGAAATTGAAGATTTTTTTACCAATTTCTGCAGTCTGAAAATTGATCAAACATGCCAACAAGATGCATTGATAATTACTGATGATTGGAATGCAAAAGTTGAAAATAAAGGAGTCACAGTTGACTCAATGGCAGTGAGTATGGAGTTTTGGTTTTAGGACTTGTAGTACAATATTGGATAGGGGTGATCAATAATGGCCATACTTGTTTAATGTCCATTCTCAAAGGAAATGCTTTCAGTCTCTCTATTAAGAATAATGTTGACTGTTGGATTTGTATATATGCCCTTAATTATGTTGAGGAATTTCCCTTTTATTTCTACGTTACTGAGTTTTATAAGGAGAGGGTGTTGTATTTTATCAAATTTTTTTTTTTTTTTTTTTTTTTTGCATCAATTGAAATGATCATGTGATTCTTTTTATGTGGTGGATTACGATGGTTGATTTTCTAATGTTGAACCACCCTTGAGTCCCTGGTATGAATCCCACCTGATTATGTGTTATTATTTTTTAACGTGCTGTTAAAATTTCTGTTGGCTGGAATTTTGTTGAGAATTTCTGTGTCTATATTCTTGAGGGATATTTGTTTCCAGTTTTCTTTTCTTGTGATATGTTTGCCTGGCTTTGACATCAAAGTTATGCTGGCTTCATAAAATGAATTGGGAAATATGTTGTTTTTTTTTCTAAGTTTTGGAATAGTTTGAGTAGAATTGGTATCAGCTCTTCTTTGAGTGTTTGGTAGAAGAACTGTAGTGAAGCCATGTATGTGGACCAGGCTTTTTTTTTTTTTTTTTTTGCTGGGAGTTTTTTGTTTTGGTTTGGTTTTTAATGACATCTTCAGTTTCTCCCATTGTTATGGCTCCATTTAAGTTTTCTTCCTCTGCTTCTATTAGTTTAGGTAGATAATACATGTCTAGAAATTTCTCCATTTCTTCTAGATTACAAATAATTTCTTTTTCATAGTATTGTTATAATCCTTCTTTCAGTTGTTTCTGTTGTAATGTTGCTGATTTCATTTCTTATCTTCTGAGACATGAGAATGTTTGGCTAGTCATTTGTCAATTTTATCGATTCTCAAAGCACATCTTTTAGATTTATTGATTCTTTCTCTTGTTTTTGTTTCATTTATTTCTGCATTGATCTTTGTTATTTCCTTTTTTCTGAGGACTGGGGACTTCTTTTGCTCTTCATTTTCTGTTATTAAGTTACTAGGTTAAATTAGAGCTATTTTTCTTCTTGTTTGATGTATGCCCTTATTGCTACAAATTTGCCTAGCCCTGCTTTTGCTGTGTACCATAGATTTTGGTATGGTGTGTCTTCATAATCATTTGATTCTAAGAATTTTTTTAAGTTCATTTTTTATTTCTTCTATGAACTAGTAGTTTTTAATAAGCTGTTATTCAGTTTCCATGTATTTAATTTCTTTTTCTTGCACTTTGTTATTGCTTTCCAGTTTTATAGTGTTACGGTTAGAGAAGATCCTTTGTATTATGTCAGTGTTTTAGTATTTATTGAGGCTTCCTTTGTGGCATAAAATATGGTCTATTGTGGAGAATACATGTGTGCACTGGAGAACAATATGACTGTGCTGCTTTTGGATGATATATTCTGTATATATCTATGACGTACAGTCAGTTGATTATGCCAGTTGGTTGACTGTGCTATTTAGATATTCTGTGTTTTTATTGAGTTTCTTTCTGATAGTTCTGTCTGTTGTCAAAAGTGGTGCTAAAGTCTCCTGCTATTACTGTAGAGCTCTCTATTTCTCAAGTCTGATAGAGTTTGTTTTATGTATTTTAGAGTTTTGTCATTGAGTACATAAATACTTGTTATTGTTAAGCCTTCCTAGTAGATTTATCCTTTTTTGTCTAATGGATTTTGATTTGAAGTCTATTTTGTGTGAAATTAATATTGCTACTCCTGCTTTCTTTTTGATACCTTTGCTTAATGTTTATTTGCATCCTTTGATTTTTAACTTGATCTTTGGTATAAGGTGTGTCTCTTGCAGGCATTATACTAAATACACTAATGGGTCATGTTTTTCTTATCCAGTCTGCCACTCGTTGACTCGAGTGTGATTACAAACAGATGTGGATTCACTGATGTCATTTTGTTACTTTTTTTGTGGTGCTGACAGTTTCTTTGTTCCACTTAATTTTCTGTGCCAAGTTCTTTTTGTATGTGAATATTCTTTTCCTTTTTATTTTTCCTGTTTGCTCAGTCTTTTGGGTTTTCTTTTTCATTTTGGTGAGTAGATTTATTACTGCTCTTCTTGTGGTGACCCTGAAGTTTACTTAAGTCCTCTTAAAAGAGTGTTTTGAAATCCCATTGACTTCCTCTCCATATTGAAGTTCTATGACTAGATCTTTTTACTCTCCCTTTGATTCTTGAAGGTGTCCTCCCTCATTTACAGCTTAATTCTTTTATTTCTATTTAGTCAGTTTTTTTAACTTTATTTCACTTTTTTGAAGACTTTCAGTTAGTGTCAGTGATGTCATCATGTGTTTCTCTCTCAGATCATTGTCTGATGTTGTTGATTTTCTATCAAAAGGACTCCCTTTAATATTTCTTAAAAAAAAAAAAAAAAAAAAACTGGCCTGGTTTTTACAAATTCCTTTAGTTTCTGCTTATCTGGGAATATCTTAGTTTCACCATCATTTTTGAAGAACAGTTTTGCTGGTTATATGACTCTTTGTTGACAGTTCTTTTCCTTCAGGGTTTTATATATGTCATCCCATTGCCTTCTTGCCTGGTTTCTGACAAGAAATCAGCACTTAGTTTTTTGATGTCCTTTGTAAGTGATGCTTCATTTTGTCACAAGCTGCTTTCAGAATTTTTTGTCTTTGGAAAGTTTGATTATGTCTTGTGGTTTTGAGGAGGGGTTTATAGTGTTCATTGAGCTTCTGAGATGGTTACCTTCTCGTATTTCATGATATATTTTCAGCCAATATACCTTTCAAAGTTTTGTTCAGTAGATTTTCTTCCCTCCACTTCTGGAATTCCTGTAATATGTAAATTATTCCTTTTGATGATGTCTCACATAACTCTTTGGCCTTCTTTATTCTTTTTTCTGATTGTTCTTCAAACAGGTTTAGTATCATAGGATTTGTCCTCTGTTTTGCTGATTCTTTCTTCCATTGATTCAGTTCCACTTCTTTATCTTTCCATTGAGTTATCTATTTCCTGGTGGTTTATTGTTAATTGTCTAGATTTCTAGTTGTGGTTTTTGTATGACTTGTAATTGTCTGTTTGTCATTTTGTTTTTGTAGTGTTTTCCTGGATTCTTCAAGGGTTTTGTGTTTTCCTTGATTTCTTTGATGATACTCCATATAAGTCTCTTGGATTTCTAATCAGGTAGTTCTGTTACCATCTTTTCCTCAGGATGGTTTTCTGCCCTTTCCTTTGGTCATTATTTGAGCTATATTATCATGTTTCTTTATATATCTTTTGTTTTTGAGGTATTAAGTTGTTATTTATTCACTTATCGTATTTTGTTTGTTCCATCCTGGCATATTAGGGTGGGTAGGTCAGACGTGCTTTCTGGATTGCTTATCTGATGGGACAGGAACCTGAATCACTGTTCAGTGGGCATGTGAGACAGCTGATGGAGGGTTGGGGTAGGCATTTGCCACTACCTGTTATCAGTCCAGCTGTGTGGAGATGCCCCCAGCCAGTAATTGGGTTGGCAGAGTAGAGAATGGAGGAATGTGGTGAGTGGCCAAAAATGCCAAAACACTCTCCCATTGCTCAATGGGTCTGCTGGCAAAGTGAGGACATTTGGCTCCTGAGCGCTCCTGCAATTTGGAAGGTTGGTAAGAAAGGGGTGAAGATGATGGATGGGCAGCTGGGTGCTCCAGAGCACTTGTACTGTTCAGCAGGTTGGGAGAGGTGTTAGCAGTAGAGAGTAGAGACATGACTGGGCATGCTGGAATGCTCTCATGCTGATCAGCTCAGAGGTTAGCAGATAAGCAGACAGGTGTGTGAGGGTCCTTTCCCTTCGCTTGATGGGTCAGTGGGGAAGAAAGTATTCTTATGCCTCTTGGAATCTGCTGGAGGGGGCTGGTGTCTGGCATACTGAAGTCAACATGGGGGGTTGGGAGATGGGCAACTGGGTACACCAGAGCACCCTCAAGCTATTCAGCAGGTGGGTAGGAAGAGTTGGAAGATGGTAACTGGATAAGGAGGGGAGAAGGAGCTTGTACTGAAGGTTTCCAACAGTCAGGGTTTTGGGGGCAAGTGATTCATGCTGCTAATCACATGGAGGATGAAGAAGGGAAGCATATTCCTCTGGTCACTGCAGATAGATTTATTATTTTTATTATTATAAATGCAAAATGTTAGATAATGAGATAGACAATAAATAAGGAGTAAGTGTACTATTAAAACTTACCACATACATTACCTACCATTTTAGCTTCAAAGATTTTGAAGTACAGAATTGAAAGTTTGCTAGGTAATATTTTTCAAATGTGGATTTTTACCTACAATCAGTAATTATAATTGTGATAAATTGTTTGTATTTTGAGTTAACTTTGCTAGCCAATATATTATTTAAATGGAATACTTAATATATTTTAATAGCTTTCAGACACCTATACACTATCCCTTAACCACTGTAGCACTCACATATCATGGTTTCTTATATCATGTTTGCCAGCAGTGGGAAACAACATTGAATAAGCCATGGCTCTTGCCATGGATTAGAGGATTAGAGTTCACAGAAATCTATGATTTGAGTTGAAAAAAAAATCTCAGAGGTGTGTAGATTTGACTCACAGTGACCTCTCCTTGGGTAATTAGGTGGTGTTATAGGCATTTGTTCAAAGTACTCTGGGGATAAAACATGTTTAACTTTGTCTTAGTTTGGGACAGACTTCACAAGACATACCATTTAGCTATTAATATGACTATAAATTCTCTTTTAGGTTGAAACTGATTTTTCAACCCCAACATCAAGAAGAAAAGCCCCATCTAGCAAAGGTAATTTTGTATTTTTCTTTTGTAACTCACTTTTCAGGTCCATTGAACATAATCTTAAAAACATATTAATCCTTTTTATTAAAATTCTCTTTGCAGATTTAGGAGATAACTCTGGTATTGGAAAACTTTTCACAAATGCTATGGAGTCTTTAGATGAAGAGGAGAAAGATTATTATTTTTCCAACTCTGACCCTGAATAGTAAAATGAGAAAATATCATTTCTAGGACTTTGATTATTAAAGGAGACATTACATTTGTATCTTCATTTGGAGTACATGTATTTTCTCGGTACTATAGTAGCTTCATATGAAAAATGTGGACACCTTTTCAAAGATTTCAAGTGTTTATATTCAAAGTAAAATTTTCCTGTATAGAACATTCCTCATTGTTCCAAATGTTGCTTACTAAAAATGTAAGGAAAATTGTTTTGGTTGTGTAGCTATAAATAGATGTTTCTGTGAGATTAAAAAATATAGAGAGATAAGTCTCTCGTGAGGATTTAAGTCTATTTACACTAGGAAAATTATGTTCCAAACAGAGTTTTTTTTTAAATGTTGCTATTATTAAGCAGGGAGAAATGAAAGATAGATTGTTTTGGTGGCTACTGAATTCATGAAAACTTTAAATTAGCATTTGTCACACATTGAAACTATTTAACATACTTCTCCCCTAAAACCTATGTAATTTTATTTTTTGAGTATTTTATTAGAATCAGAGAATATATTTTGATGCATTCATAAAGCTTAGTTACATTATGCATAGTTTTTTTAAAAAAACTAGATTACACAAATATTCAATTAATAGATTTACCAATGTAAGATATCAAGTTAACATGTCACAGTAAGCATCCTTTTCCTCTCATTGGCAGCTCTTTTAGAAATAAACTTTTTAAGCAAGCTTCTTTTATCTTATTCTGCTGTTATGTTTTAAAATTTGTGACAAAATACTTTCTCTGGTTACAGTATATATTCACCTATCCCTTCTCTTCAGTTAGACTATTCAAATAAAGTTAGTTGTTTTCATATTTAGTTTTCAGTGTCTTTTAAACTACTGGCTCACAGGAAGAAGACAAATATGCATTTTTTTACTGGCCCAATTTAAATTTCCTTTAAAAGTGTCTTAACTTTTAGTAGAAAATAACATTTTTTTTTTTGTTTCTTAAGAAGTTAGTAATAATCAGCAATTATATTTTTATAGAATTTATAGAAACAGAAGATTAGAAAAGAACAGTGCAGTTCCAAGATCATTCTCCTTTAAACTGTGATTGCTTCTACACAAAGACTAGGTAGATGTAGGTGGAACATGACCTACACAAAGACTGGGTAGATGTAGGTAGAACATAACAAAGGGTTATTTTAGAGTGGCTCTATTAAAATACCATAAAACTTGAGTTGCTGATATTAAGTATAATGCTATTCTGCCTGAAGTTAGTGGACAGTATTTTAGGATTTAAGAAGTGGTCAGATCCCATAATGGGCAATAAAAAGATAATTCTGAAAAGACATGGACTTGACCCAATCCAGAAGTCTGACCCCTAGCCCCCATGTTCCTTGTGTCTCATCAGAACACCTTCAGCACCCCACCTACCAGATCCCTAGTTTTTAGTCCCTTTTTTTCCCTCAAGTCATAAAATAAGCTAGTAAGCCTACTGCAACTTCCAAAAACCAGTTAAAAGTGAAAAAGATTTTAAGGGCTCAAGGACTGAAACAAGAAGATAAGATTGATAGCCAGTAGGGATGACAGTTAGGGGCTAACATTAAAGGTATAGGAGGAGGCTGATCTAGGCATAAATATAGAGAGAGATACCTCTCCACATAGTAAGCATAAATAAATGAAATCCTCTCAATCATGTCCCTCATACTATCTTAATTTACATAATGTTTTGTCTGCTGGTGGACACAAAGGAAGTCAGAGTATGTAGTGTCTGTGTGGGAGGTCCTGCAAGGGTTATCCTACTCAGGCCAGTGCAAAGTTGCCAAGGAACTGTGCTACCTACATTAAGCTAGGGTAGAGCAGCCCTATCTGTCCCTGTTCACGTGCCCTATTGACAGACTATGCAGCAGGTACAAGCAGCAGCAAAATGCAGCATACCAGAACCAGGAAAAGAAGCCCCTTTCCTCTTCCTACTGACAATGCTTATAGTGTCGTGCTTACTATAAAGGAGGAATTCTCAAAAAGTCCAATCCATGATTGCAGAGCAGGTACTAAAGGGGGAGTTTGCATCTGAGAGGTAATATATTTATAGCTGCACACTACCCAATAACATAGAGCTTCTTTTCTCTCTGGCTTTGACAGAACTATTGGAGAACATATGCATGACATCAGATGCTTTCAGAAGAATTGAATTTATTCTCTTTCAGGAGCCAAGTTCACAATTAGAATAACTTTCTTTTGTTCCTCTTTATCACTAAGGGAGTGAGGAGAGAAGTCAGTCTAGTACCTGGGGTCTGGTTCTAGATTTGCCAGTCTAAAGTTGAATCAGTCACTTGTTTGTGAGTCTCACTTCTATCATCTGAGAACAAAGGAAAAAGAAAAGTGATGAGCTCTGAAGTCCATACAAGGTCAAAATTGAGGAAAGCTCTCTGCTGTCATATTTGCTCAACTATGAAACACTAAAACAAAAGAAATAAAGCAACCAGAAAATAGAAGACTAAATTGAGGCACAGGGATTTATCCATAATTCAACTCTGCTGTAGCACTAGACTGACTAAGAAGCAAGGGCCTCCAATGTTTCAGAAATAAACATGAAGCCATCTTAAAATAGTAAAAGCAATAAGTATCATGACACAACTTAATGAGTAAAAATCAAAGTCTGCATTCAATGGCTCATCTATAATAAAAATAAATCTTCCAAATCCAAGCCAATCTGTCACTTCTTTGAATATGATATTTCAACAGCATACAAAGTAAAGTACCTTGGCGTTAATATTAATAGGATTTCATTATATTAAACAGGGACATCTTTGGGAAGAAAGTTTTCTGATTGCTCAGTTACTAGGGCATTTATCTCACACACACACAAGAAAACCCTTAATCTAATATATATTTATATTCAGTACATTTTATATGGTCTAAATATTATATATAGCAGAAGTTTATATATAGAAGAAATTGTTAGTGACCATTAAGTTGGCAGCAGTAATAGACATAACCTCTTATGCTAATAAATTATAACAGTTTAATCTTTGGAAAATTTTCAAAATAACATCTCAACTTTAGTTTTTACATTCTTAAATGCACTGAACAGCACCTTTACTAAACCATTTTTATTCAATAAAAAATTTTTCATAATCTAGTTAATGTCAGAATGACAATTAGTAAATATCAGAGATGGTTTTCTTTTTTAATAACTTAAATAATCCATATAAATAAAAATGTACAATTTATAAAATATCTTTAAGAGATAAGGAAATATTATTCCCTTATTTACATATTTTAAACTGATAATCATCAACTACAGCAATGATTACTGAAGTGCACTTAGTATTGTGAAAGTTCTTTGATCACATCTTGAGTCTGATCATGTATCAGATTTCAGTCTACGCTGGTTAAGACTTCGGTAACATCTGCATGTCAAATACATAGTGAATATAGTTATAGATCTCCTCAGCCTTTTCATGAGATACATGTGCATACATGGAGATTTCTTGAGATGAGCTGAAAAATAAATTGGACAAAGAAAAACATTACAGTAGAACTTAGACTTTTATAAAATTTAATATGGTCATCTTCCTTAAGAACATAAAACTCAAAAGCCTTTAGCCAGAAAAAAATCATTTTCTGTATGAGCATTCTATTTCCAGTTGATACATCTTTAGGATTAGCTTAAATTAAAAAAAAAAAAAACTTATTCATTCCCTTTTTTAAAATGATATGTAGTAACTACATCTTACATGGGCGTCTGGCTTAATTAAAATGAACCTATTTTCTAAAATCTTCCCTTTTCAAGCATTTTAATAATAAAAAATTTAAAAAATTAACTTAAAATTTTTCTAGGTACAGAATTGAACAGTTCAGAAATGTTAGAACTTAAATGTAAATGCGTGTTTTGTGTTTATCTCCCCATAGAGTTCTAAAGCTCCTCACAGGCAATGCCTTATTTATTTATTTAGCCCCCACTAATGTCTTCAAATTCATGCAGTGACAATACATGCTGGCAGGCAAAAATATTCACTGAGGAAAATGCTCTAACAGATACTACCAAAACCCAACTCATCGCCGTGGAGTCAATCCCAACTCATAGCAACCCCTCCATGGGTTTCCAAGGCAGTATCTCAATGAAAGTAGATTGCCCAATCTTTCTTCCAAGAAGTGGCTGGTAGGTTTGAACCACTAGCCTTCTGGTTAGCAGTCAAATGCCTTAGGCACTATGTCACCAAAGCTCCCCTAACACTAGCTTTCTTAATTTTTTTTTGAAAATTTGGAATTTCCTATGGAATGCTTCTAAGAATCATTTTAAAGTAACCAATTAAAAAATATTCATTATTAAAACAGACATACCTGTTAGCCATTTTTTTCACAGATGAGAACTGGTGGCACATATTTAACGCAGTTATATAGCTTACATGGGGAATACTTAGATAAAACTGAAGCGTGTCCCATTTATTACTATTCACTAGTGTTGGGACATGTATACCAACATTCTTTCGTTGTTCCACTAAAGACAGTTCCTTTAGCAAATCTGCGGTTTCTTCTTGACAGGAACTGAAAAGAATTCGGATTCCAGCACTAATTAAGGCAGTCAGCAGGCTATCATAGTTCTTTGTTCTCCTAAACATCCTTGAGGTATCTCCTAAATATTTCATAATTAGGAAAAGGCAAACTTTAGTAACTAATATTAAGTAAAGCTGTTAATATTATACTTTAAATTATTAAAATCCCAAGATCTGAAAGTAATTCTCAAACATGTGAGAGACAAAATAGGCAAATAACTACACTCTGAATATCTTGAACTGGAATCAACATAGAAAGGTGAAGAGGCAGGAGACAGCTCATATTCCAAGATAATTCATTCTTGAGGCCAAGACCATATTCTGTATTCATCTTCAACTCCTTATAATGCTAACATTGAAGGGGCTTGTTCGGATGAACGTCTATAAAAAGTCTATTTATTTATTGCAAATAGTTACTAAACAAATATCTCACACACACATTTTAATCTGTCATCTTTGACTTGCTTATTAATTGACTTCCTTGCCTTTCCTAGTCATTTCTTTTCCATAGCCTACCTACAGCATCATTACGCAAAAAAAAAAAACAAACATAATTTTGACCTGTTATTTGTCTCTTTATTCCGAATTTATTTCCTTTGTAAAGGCCATATTGGCAAAGAGGATTTTATAGAATTTAGCACTGTGAGAACCTATGAGACACTTAAACCCTCACTTTTCAGATTTAATTTAAAAAAAAAGAAAGAAATCTGAGTGGACAGTTCAAAACTGAACTCTCTTTACCTACCTTTCAAAATCTGCTGCTTCTCTCATAATCAAAATTGAATAAATGGCACCTCTGTCTACCTTCTTAGTAACCCAAGTAATGAAAAGTCAACTCAGAGTAATGCTTGACTCCTCCCACCACCTCCTGCTAATCCTGCCTATTATGCATCTAAATCCTGTTCCTCTTCCCCAACTGCTACTTTAAGGCCCTCATTCATTATGGGGCTTCTGAAAAAGTCTTATGATTGGTCTATTTGCCTTCACTTTTTTACCCTTTAATTATCATATTATAAACTGCAAGTAAACACAGATTAATGAAAAACATGGAATTAGGTAAATATGTAAACATTCATAAATCAAGTATTTATATTTTAAGTTTCTCACATCCTTACAGAAGAATAAAGTAAATAATAGTCAAGTTCCTTTATAAACAAAAACACTTTCATATACAAACCTATTTTTTCTCTGTCCTTTTCCACGATCATACATATTCTTTCAAACATGCTCTGCAGGTGCTGGATGTGGTCAATGAGCTTATTCCTACTGATATTTAACATTTCAGATTGAGACTTCCTTTCCACTACCATGCGGTTACTCACTATGTAATCACAACCATTAAGGGGACAAACTTCTACTTCTAACCCATGAACTGCTCGTAGGGTAGAAATTACTTCTGAACCAGAAGTGATTTCACGATTATCTACAAGAATACAAGTTCTTTTTCCTTTCTGTGGAAGTCTAAGAGACGTATGAGTCCCAGTCAAATATCTTGAATTGGAACAATATGCCGCTGAAGTGCTAGAATCCTTCAGAGTACTACCAACCTGAAAAAGTGGAAAATAACAATCACAATCAAGTTAAATACATCCTAACACCATAAACTTATTACATCCGAAGATGACCCTCCTTACTGATAGCTAATAATCCTATTCCTTCCTTCAACACAAAAGTGACAAGAGATGGGGTTTTTTTTTTTAGGAAGATGGCATCCTACTAGCAGACTGCTGCAGATCCCTCTTTCAAGAGATTTACAGAAACTCAGTGAAACCCATACAAACAATGGTCCTGGAATTATGAGCATCTAATGAGAAGATAAAGTATTGGACTGAGAGAAGACAATACCTGATCATCACAACTACAACTCCTCTTCACGACAGAGACCCACATTCCCACCAGTTACTCAACCAACACAGAGAAAGCTGGAGAGTGACCCAGTACAGCCAAGCTAACCAAAAAAGTACACCTGCTCCACACTTCCAGATATATTTTTAAAAAGTAAAACATAAAACCAGAGTGAAACAAATCAGCACATAACCAACAAATAAAGACAATAACTTCAAAATGTCTCAGAAACAAGAGACAACTTGATTCAAACAAAAAAAACAGGACAAGATAGTAGAAAGAAATATCCAACTAATTAGGAAATCTCCCTAAGGAAGAACAAGTAACAGAACTATCTGATAAGGAATTTTAAAAAAAG